TAATCAGTTTCATCTGTGGGAAAATTCCAATCACACTTGGATTGTTTTTTAATAGTAATAGTTGACCGATTTTGATGAAACTTCAGGATATTGTAGTCAATATTTAACTTCAATGTTCAACAAACAAAATCTACAATTTTCAATTTTTTTTTTTCGCATTGAAATTCAAGTTTGAAATTTTTCACACATATTTTTCTTTTTTAATATTAAAACAATCGTTCAAACTGCACTTAAATCCATCTGCATAACAATATATTATGAACAGCAACAACGACTGAAGCGATGCAAATAATCATATACCATCGCTATAGTTTACGCTACTCACACACATACAATTGTTTCTTCTAGTTTCTCTCTCTCACATGCATACACTTGTTTCTTCGATACAGGAAGAAACATGAATTATCGTCTCGTACATTTGCTTTACATTTCATCACATAATGAAATAGCTATTGTATGACAAATCGCAGTTTTTAACCTTGAACGAGTTTATTGAACTCATACGTTGCTGTCCCGATAGCGAAAGCGCGTGTTCCATATAAATAATATACACTCGAATCAGTTTTAATTGCACATTTGGATGGATAGACGGATTAGATGGATGGACGGAAGAATGAATATAAAAAGAATAGAAAAGAATCTATATGAAATACAACTGCACAGTCTGCATGAAGTTTTATAATGTAAACAAAACACTCACATATGCGGGGATTGAAATGATAAAAAATCAAATTAAAGTGAACGAATAAAAATGTGAAAAGGAGTGGGGGAAGTATGAGTGTAAAAGAGAGGATATGTAAGTAAAAGAGGGGAAGTGTGAGTGTAAAAGAGAGAAATTATGTGAGTAAAAGGGAGAAAAAGATAGAAAAATGAGGAGAAGTATGACCTTAAGAGAGAGAGAGAGGGTATGTGAGTAAAAGAGAGAATATGAATATGAATCAGTCATCTTAATTCATCAAAAACTAATTCATAAAATAATTGACTTCATTCATCTTCAGGATTGTTTGGCCGAGGTGAAAGTGTCATTGTTTGTCTGAGGATGAGAATCTGCGTACAAAAATACAATCGTTTAATGAGCGATTGCATAAGAAATTGCGAATTCATTTGTTGTTGTGTGTTAAAAGTCATGAGGAAATTTAGACATGATTTTTGGGTACCGGTTTAGGATACATCTCACACATAATAACATTATTCGCCTGGATTTATGCTCAACTATTTTACCGACACAAACGGCAATCTATCATACGAAATTTATTGTCGCGAGCGCACAAATGCGCACGTTCGCTTTGATGAATCGAACTACGAACACATAATCACTTTGATTACTGGTAGCAGATCAAGAGCCCAAATTTTGAATACCGGTCAATCTGAAAATGCGGAACAATTGCCATGCCACACACAGAGCACAAACAAATTTCGGCGAACATTGGAGGGACAGAACGAGAGAGAATCAACTAATAAATACAAATACAAATACTCTGTTTGTTTGGTCGAGAAATTTCTGGAAAATGGCTCAAAATAGATTTGCTTGTATTTTTTGACACTTTTTTTGTTTCGTTTTGTTTTGCTGGGTTTTGTTTTGTGTTGTTCTGAATATTCTTATGCATTATTTCTATTGACAATATTTTCCAGTCATGCATATTTTCAAACCAACAGAAATTAAAGTTGAGGGGAATGTGGTATTGAAGCATGAGGATGGGCTATCGTATTTTACTTTTCCACACGACCATGTCGTGGATGAAAAGTATTTTCAATTTTCTTTTGGTTCAGGGTATTTTTTGAATGTTTGTTTAGTCCTAGCAAATGCCAAAAACTGATGATTTCGTACTTGTATTTACGTTCGTTTTTATTCAGATCCTACTGAGGCCGATTTAAAGGAAAAAATTATTCTCCATTGGACATTTGCCTTTAACAGTTTAAAAGCTGCAGAGAATGCAACATCCGCCAAAAAACTCGAAAAGTTAAAAAAATAATTTGTATCTTGTTTAAAATATACATCAAAATCAAGCTCATTTATTTGACCATTGTGGATTCAGATTAATACAGTGTGGAGTAATGTGGAAAGAATCGAAAAATGTATATTTAATGTTTAAAATCGGTGAAATTTGTTCCCTTTTCTCCGAAGATTAAGATATTCCATATACTTAAAATAGGTTAATAAATGTTCTTGTAACTTCCATTCATACGAATCGTGTCGTTTCATTGCAATGCGGCTAAAATTGGTGGTGCCGTTTGTGGTAGCCCGTTTTGTTGCCAAATAGACTGCGTCTGGTACATAGATCGTAACCTTCTGGGCTCCGTCCAATTGTTCACGTACCATATTCAGCATTTCCAGATTAAGTATCGCCTCAAATTCAAAATTGATTAATTTAATTTTCGTTAAATTTTTCATTTGTTCAAAGTATTCTAGAATTTCCTTTCGATTGTTTAGACCAGGTCTTTCTAAACTGTTTGCAAAGATTTTGTTATACCCAACGCCACGCAAGCTGCAAAGCATACCAAATTCCTTACATCCTATGGCCATGTGTGAAGACCATGCAAGATGCTCTCTATCAAGGGTGAATATTTGTTCCACAAACGGTTTTAAAAAACCTAAATCTATTGATACAGTACTTATGTGTAAACGCTTGAAGAAACCATGACTGTGAAGATGACAGAGCTGCTCATTTAAACTGTAGATGTCACAACCTTTCATCTGCGATATACGAAATTGTTTCAGTTCGAATGTATCCAATTTTATGTTTGAATTGAGGAATGCATCTACATTGGAACTTATTGTAAACATATCGCAAGAAAAAGTGCGAACATTGCGATTCAGTTCGAAAAATCGAATAAGTTCGTCAACTTTTTTTAAATTTTTCTCTCGACTCGAAACGACCCAATCCAAATGCTCAATGGTCGCATATTGTCGCAGCAACCATTTTGAATTGTTTTCGAATATTACTCCACAAATTTGGAGATGTTTCACATTTGTACAATATTTCAGGAAAATATCGTAAAAGTCTCCAATGACGGTGGAAGAGAGCAATTTCAACTTTTCAATGTTTGGTAAAATATCCAAAATGCAATTAGTGAATTTATTATCCACACGTACATTTGTGAGAGTGAGTTTTTTCACTGTTTTCATTTCTTCGGCATGCAATTTGATGTACTTCAATTTAATATCCAGATCTTTGTAGAAGGAAGGATTGTGAAAACCGCGGCCCCTGGATTTCTTTTTGTTCACAACATGATTTCCGATGTCGATCGAAGTGATAAATTGCATGAAACCTGGTATTGAAATACAATTTGTCATCCAATCTGTAGCAGCATCTTTATGGAAAATTACATAAAAACCATCACTTAAACAGACAACGTGGGCAGCGGAATAATTGCGTTTGAAAAATTCGCCCGTGATTTGTTGCATCGATTTACATGTTTGGCCCAATGAATGCAAATCCGTCAACGATAGATATTCCAAGAGATCGTCGAAACAATGGCCAATCAGTTTGAGTATTGGAGATGATAAAAAATGTTCGTTCTCATCGAAAGAATCCACTGGAATTGGCGTTTCATTGGCATTTCTACCATTCCATTGAGTCCAAGTCCGGTTTTTGTTTCCATCACTCTCATTGCTGCTGTTTCTACGTGACAATTTTAGTAGACTGTTTCCCATTATTGCGTTTTTTTTTTGTTTTATTTATTGAATGAACCCTATAAAAATGAACAACACAATAAAAATCACAACATTTTGAACTATATCTTTTGCAGAATAATTGTATACCAACACTTCGAAATTGATGATTCTATTTGCAATTTATTCTAGGAAAAAATTCATTTATTAAATGAAAATAAATTGAAAACGGCGAAAATATATACGCTCTACTTTGAAAATAAATAGATATTTAAACGATGTTGTTTATTCAACTCATAAACGTCAACTATTGTGAAATAGGTGTGTCGACAAAAAAATTCAAACATAGGACCAACGACGTATGTAGTTCAAGGATTAAGAAAACTCGTCGGAGTGAAGAGTATCTCTATATTTAAATACGATGAAGAATCAGAGACATAATGATTTGAAATACAAAAAAGGAATCATTTAGCTTAAACCAAAACTAAGGTTTTCGGTTGACAACCACACTGGTTCGGGTGATTCTTTGTCGCAGGTATTTGTTATGAATACGAGTAAGAGCCTTTTTTACGAAACAGTACTACATCAGTTGATAAAAACAGGATTAGGAGATTTTCCTGCGAAAAAAGTGCTCGTACAATTTTTGAAATGCTAATTTTGGCTAGTTTTCAAAGCAGTCGAACTTTCTACCTGTTTCGTCATAACGCATTAATACATGGCCTGGCATGACAAATGCATTTACGGTAAAACGAAGAAGAGATACAACGAAAAAAACACAATACGATACAATTTTTACATTAGTTTTTAAAAGTTTGAGGAAAGGATCAAAGAAATGATGGAAACTGGAGATAATACTGACAAACATATTTTTAGTGGAGATACAGACGGTAATAAAGCTAGAGTATAATTTATGTGCCATAAAATAAGAAAAACAAATAGGTAAATAATCCAGTCGAAATGTTTATGGCGTTCATTTTATTTGGCACATCATAATTATTTACACTGTTCGTCTCTTTTTTTCTTTGGGTTACTGAAACACAAATTGGGTTATTCATATGACTTTTCTTGCTGATGTGTCGATTTCAGCGTATTCGCTTCGTATACGAACGTAATATGATTTCAAATTGAGTGTCAGTCATAATTATACGATCATTCGCAGTTTGTAACGCGTAGTGACCAGTGAAACGTTATCGACAGACCATGAAAATAACATTAATATTAATAGTGCATTCAGCACTAAGTATTTTTGGTGTCGTCCGTAGTTGTAAACTCACAGTGCAAGTGATTCCGTGTTGGATTACTTTCAATTGTTATCCCGCGGCACCCACATATCCCCAACAGCCAGCCTATCGAGTTCGAGTTGAAGATCAGCGAGTAGGAGGCTTTAATCAACCACAAGCTATCAGCAACTAAAATCCAGTTCAAACGGTAAATTCTGTTATGATAATTTCAGCAACTTTGTTTGCTATAAATATGTTGGCGATAGTTGATGAAATTTGATAGCAATCATTTCTAAAAACATTCAACATAACTTCATAACAGTTTTAAATGTGTTTCTTTTTTCACGCAAATTCACCATGGCATCTAAACGCGGTAAAAACATTTTTAACAAAGATTTTGCTATAAACTATCCGGTTAAGAAAACCACTGATGTTCATTATTTAAAAGTTTCATGAATCGTGTTGATTATACTCTTTTTTCTCAATTTTTGTACAATGAAGTCCCAAAAATACGTATGTAATTCATTTTATTTTTTTTCGATTTTTTTCTACGTTTTAGGATCCGATTCTTTCATTGAGTTTTCCTTCCGACCCAGGTAATCTTAGAGCGACATATCGTCTGAACCATATAGACGCACCGTACTTGGTCTATATCGTCATAGATACGAAAAAGTGGAAAAGCGATTTGCTGGGTCAACTAATCGGTCAAACCCGCTACTGCTCAGGTTTTTTGGTTTCAGAAACACGCGTAAGTATACAAAATAAAGCTTTCTTTACTGGTGATATCGAAAATTTGCTATTAATCTCTGAATTTCGTATTAGGTTTTGACTGCAGCGCATTGCAAGGATCAAATGAGAGATAATGGATACATGAGTCTTTATTTCACAAATGGTGACAAAAGAAAAGTAATTTATGAAAATATAATAATTCATGATGACTATGATAATCTTGACATGGACTACAAAAATGATATCGCCGTGGTTAAATTAGAAGAAAAAGTGTCTGAAGTAGCTCATGTACTTTTAAGGTGCATCGATGACATTGGTCAATCTCTACGTATTATCAGTCGAATAAATGATTTCAAGCTAAGACGAGATTTTCGTGAAAATATTTATAAAATGTTTCTCACTAAAGTGGAAAGGGAGCACTGTAACGAGTTGGAGAAAATAATTTGTACTGCTAGGCAAAATGAAGATTATCAGATCGAAAAGGGAGATTCTGGTTAGTAAATTGAAGATGATAAGATTTTTTTGGTGTGTTAACGAAATTTTGAATTCAATTTTACAGGTTCTCCACTTATGTTTAATTACCTGCACAACGAATATGCAACTGGAATCATGAGCTTTGACTACGAAGATGATCTTACAGAACGTGTATCACCATCAGTCTTCACATCGTTGGTTAATCACACCTTATTTATACAAGAAAATGCAGGCGTTCATGTACATTGTAAAAATGATATAGTCAGAGATTGAACAATCATAAAATCATGCGATTTGATTAAAATCGAAAATAATTAATTCCACCACAGCCGAGTCGAATTGGCTACAAAAAATAAACACACACACACATAAACGCTCACACAAACAGTAACCATACAATGAACTTTATTGGAATATGAACAAAGGCAGCAATCTCTGAACAAACGATTTGGATACAAGCGATTGAATTACATTTTGGATTGATTTCATGTTTGATTTTGATTTCCTTCGTCTATTTTCTCTCTATTACACACACACACACACACACACACACCACACACACACCACACACACACACACACACACTGCAAAACCTGTTTTGCAAACGTCTCTGCTTAGTGTATATTTCTTATGGACAACGGATGAGTGCGGACGGCAGCGACGCATAAACATGAATACTCTCTCTCTCTCTCTCTCATATGAGCAATAGAAATAGAATTGTTGGTGAGTATTTGAAAATATTGAAATGAAGAGAAAAAAATCTTATGATAGTGAGAATCGAACTCGAAGCTGCTGTATTCCAAAAATCTAAAAACCAATGCTCTAGCCGCGGAGCTACGACGTTCTTCACTAAATGTATGGAAAAAGTTGGTATATATGCGTTTCTGGTAACATATGTTCGGTACATACAAACGAAGTAAAAATCTACGGAGCTTTCAAAATGTAAACAAATGAACTTAAAACGCACCAATGTATTTTGTTGTTGTTTTTGTTGGATAATGAGTAATCTATCTCACTTTGACATTTGCGACGAAATCATAGGTCGTTTCACAAAATCTCGCCACTTGTCGTCTATGTATATAAATGTTTACATCATCATATGATGATATCTGTTTTCTAGAAACACAAAAGACAGCAATGTTGTATGTGTAGGCAGGCGGCCATATTTTCATCGTTATATTTTGATAGTGTACGATTGCTGATCACACATCTCACATTCAAAGCAACGAAACGAAGAAGAAGAAGTAAAATACTATAACATCACACAACTGAACAGTGAACACACAAAAAAAGAGACGAGAATTCGATAAAGAAAGAAAGAGAAAACAGAAATTGCGCTCACGTATTGGTGTATAGACTGAATGAAAGAGCCACAGGAAAAGTACAGAGCAACAACGAAAACAACAAAAGAAGAATAGCAGTTTCATTCTCTTTGCATGATCTGAATAGCTGAAACTCTGGTTAGTTTTTCTAAATTATAGACGAAGACCAAAACATACGCACAATTTCTTTATTTATTTCTTCTATTTGCAAATTGGAAGTGAAGCAATTGAGAAATGTCGAAAAAAATTGTTTGTTCCTGGATCCAAGGTGAACTGAATGTGAGTGTGTGTATTTGTGTGTGGTGTGGTGTCATGTAATGTATTTTGTTGCATTTCGAAGTGCAAAAAACACTCGTATTTTGCTCTGAAATGCATTGCGTAAATATCTGGTGTGAATTGACACACACACATGCACACACAGAGAGAGAAAGAGAGAGAGAGAATGTACTTAATATAATTTTAAAATGAAATACCACAGTTGAAATCTTTATGCTAATCAATGTATGGTGCATAGACTTCACTCTTTGAATGATGCAAGGTGACGCAAGAGGGCTTGCGTCAGTCTTGCGTCAACCGCATGGTTGACGCAAGAGTTGCTGACGAACCCGCCTTTTTCTACTACTCTAGAGTGCTCATATTTTGAGCGACGTAGAACGACGACCTCCAATTTCTCCATTTGGTTTTGGTTTTCTCCCATCGTTTCGTAGAGCTGATACAGTGCGTAACAGCCGCCTGAAAATGACAGAAAAAGGTTGAAAGGAAGAAAAAATTGAAATTTGAAAAATGAAAGAAAAAATTGAAATTTGTCTTTCAGCAACTTACCAAACATTCCAAGTGTGATTGGAATTTTCCCATAGATGAAACTGATTAATCTAAAGACTAGGTTGAAAGAAAGAAAAAATTGAAATTTGAAAATGAAAGAAAAAATTGAAATTTGCATTTCAGCGACTTACCAAACAATCCAAGTGTGATTGGAATTTTCCCACAGATGAAACTGATTA